CAACGAAATACTCCAGCGAGAAAGTAGTCATGCAGCGTAGACTTAGGAATACCGAGTGTATTCGCCAAAGTACGAATATCTGACCTGTCTTCTAGCGGGATAAGTTCGATGGCGTCGTTGAGGGCGTGGCGGAACTCCGGCGTTAAACGCGTCTTGCGGCCACTCTTTCCCTTCCTGCCGCCGTTGTAGTTGATCGGCTCTCCTGCTTTGATGTCCCTGGTAGTCCGGCGCCACAATCGCGAAATCTGGTCAGTACTACATCCATACTTAGTCGCGATGGAGCCGATCGCGCCTGGAGACGGGCGTAGCTCAATGCTGACCCGCAGGAGGAAAGCGATAACCTCAGCACGCTCGGGCGGGGTAAGATTCTTTCGTGGCTTTGCCACGGGAGTAGCGTCAGACCCCATCACAAGGAGTGGCGAAGAGTCAAAGCCGAAATGGGGTTTGACGGCTGTGCGTTTACCGTTATAACTTTGGCTCTGCTCAACGAAAACTCGCACGAGAACCACCAATCGACTTGTCAGGCTCGACCCGTCAATTTTAGCCAGTAAGCAAGCAGAAAAGGTCAAATTTGAGCTTAATATTGGTCAATCCTCGCAGCACCGCTTATATTTTCGGACAGAGGAAGTAAGAATTATCAGACTGTGAGCGCTGTAGGCGAGTCTTCAATGTTGACCACAAGATCGAACAAAAACGTTGCAAGAGGACGTTGAGGGGGTAGTATGTTTGCGATTCCTTACCAGCTTTCACCTCGCACTGCACCTTTATCCATGACCAGCTTAACCTTATTTCCCGCATTTACCCGGCACGATATCTGAAGGGTTGCTTTAAATAGGACCTGTCTATTACGTACGATGGCCAGTTGCAATAACACCACAGAACAGCTACCTTTAGGCTAGGAGCTGGGACACTGAGCCGAACGAACGGAGAAGAAACTGTTTTTGGAGTTTATGCACTTGTATAAATCCTATCCAGGGAGGCCAGCTAGAAGCACTGTATGGATATCTCACTTAGATCAATTCGTTCTAATGGACTTGATTAATGACACGCAGCAGCAAACGCCACGCATGGACAAGGCTAAGGGAAATTTCGATGTCAGCCGTGTGGGTCGCTTTTTCGTAGCGATGCTTTGGCTTTCGTCGCTACTGAGTCAGCCGTCGCATTGAGCTCGCGCACAACATGCAGGTACCAGACACTACCGAGTTTGGACGTCAGCGGTTCCTTGTGGTTATTCAGCTCAACATTTAGCGTTTGGCTTGAACACGCGATCGCATCTATGGATTGACGTATTGCAAGCGTGGGGTCGGTCACAATGGCTACGTCATCGATCACGAGCTCGGCAACGTTAGCCGTGGCCGATGCAAAGAAAGCACTCTCAGCGATCAAATATTCCCACTCGAAAAGACGCCATAAGATCCACGAACATCTTCTATAGCCTTCATGTTTCTTCGTCTTCGCTGACCCGTCGAAAGACAGCCCAAAGCCCTCGTAGTCGTGAATGAAGGTGAGCATTAAGGAGAACGGAATACATGCAAGCCGGCACGGACCCACGTGACGGTGGCATCCCGGGTGGTAGCGTCATGTCCAAATCTACGAAGCTTGTTATCATCGACTAAATTCGATGGGAGAACCCGATGCCCAAATCAGGCAATCGTTCCACGGCCAAGGCCCACAATTATAGTAGCACGGCGCATGGAGCTACACGGCCGAACAGTGGCTTCGACTTGTTTAACCACTCTATCGTAGCAAATCGGCTGTAAGCACGTATACGCCTACCAGAGATCATCGTGTAACCCGTTTTTAGCAGAAACGTAATTGCGAGAACCTCATTCTCCACAGGGTGAGAGTTCGTCTACGCATCCCGTAGCACTCGTCCAATGAATATATCATAAAAAGGCTTTGATTTATCTTTCGAGGACATCGCCGCGCTCAGCACCGATTTGCTCACGAAACGTATGACGTAGATATCCCGGCTTCGATTGAAGTGTCAATGTTCGGCAGCCTTTAGTTTTAAGGGCGCTTTCGCCTTAGGCAAGCGCCGTAGACAGTGAAATCGTGAATGAAGCAGTTAAAATAAACAACGCTCCCAGGAACAACTCTTTACCCTTCTTCGACTCTGGGAGGGGCAGCTTTGCAATACCTTTCTTTTTCTTTGGGTCACCGCGAATTCCCTCCAGTGACGCTTCATGAGATAAAAATTCATTTTCTACTTGTTAAAATCACCTCTCAGTACAGCTCACGCTAATCCGACACTCCTGGAAGTGCGATAGCAGCTGGTCAAACGTTTTCAGACAGGTGTTCCCACCGAAGCAAATATCGCTCACGGAAGAGGGACGCTTGGGCTCCGGCACCATCGTCCATTCATTCGGCTTGTCGTGCAAGAACATACCGGCTACGGGGCTATTGATCAATTCTGTAGGAGAGTTCGCCATTTGAGAAGTGTCGTGGTCAACAAAAACTGCGTCGGCGACGCCATCACATTCTATTGCATCTAAATGAATGGCTCATCATTACGGCAACGGCCCGCCTGGGCCTGTAGTCCATCGATTCGCATCACTGCCTCGTACTTCGTTTAATCACCCTTCGATTGTACGAATTCCACAGCGCTCTGACGGACACTGTATAAGTCTGTTTATCGGCGTCGTTGTTCCCTCGAAGGATTTACGTCGGTATTGGGTAAGGTGGTGGATCCACGGGCGATGGTTGGTCATTGGTCCATCACTCATAATGGACTTATCTGGTTCGGGAAGTGCCAAATTTCTTCCGCTCAAAACGCCACTGCTAGCCAGGCTTTGCACCGCCGTGACTTGAGATGGACGTTGTCCCTCCAACGGAGGAAATTCTTCATGGGGAATCTACACTGCAAAATACGTGAGAACATCGCACGTCACGCTCCGGTCTGTAGCAATCGTGAGCCGAACCATCGCCACTTCGCAAAGGCGATTCTTCAGAAGCGTCGAAATTAGAACGTCGGGCCTCCGAGCCCACCGATCATGCGTATCGTCACGCGGGCAGGCTTGTGTGAAAAATAGTCGGAATAGTCATGCGCCTCGACTCGAATCCCTCTAGGATTTTCCACCGAAATTTGTTTCCGTCATACGGGGTTGTCTTTCATTTTCTTTAATTCCAGCAATGATAACACAACCCCGCCTGGCATCATCACAGTAGAGCGATACCAGTCCAGTCGAGCCCCGCTGGTATCATGACATCCATGGCGAGAACAATATCGAATCCGACGTTCGGTGGCAGCACTTACATCTCAATTCATAGACGATCGCTGTTCCAGTGTCACTTTCACATTCCTTCAACGCTTCGTCGACATCGACCGATCGTTAGCCCATGGATGGGTATGGACCGTAGTCGAAATATCTTCGCGAAAACTCAGAGGCGATGCCCACATTAGCCCCGGGTTCTAGCAATGCCGACGTGTCTTCGTCGTCGATAGCAGCACCGCTCCCCATCGAATGCATTCGCTCGCGATTAACATACCTCTGCGACGTATATCATGCCCTGGATTCACCGGCTATCATCCGAATCACCTTGGCTCCTCGTCGCGTCACCAACCGCTTTCTCACCATCATACAAGCCAGACCAGCATCGTCATTTTCTCCACCACCATCATAATCATGATCCTAATTTCCTTCGCCATCGACGAGGGTTCCGTCGCTGTTATGTCATTTTCAGTAGTTTAGCCAGTCTTAAAGCCCTTGTGTGACCATTTACCATTCTCCGCGAAACTGAAAATGCACATTGCTCCCACCGGGGCTTTGGTCAGCTATAGTAGGCTGCTTGGGCGACTTACCTTTTCAGCATCTCGCCAGCATGCAAGTAGAGCAGTAGAAAGCCGTATCACCGATACTTATTTTATCCTTTAAGACCGAGCATACTTTGCAAGCTCGTTGGTGTCGCTACGTACTGTCATCCGTATTGTCTTTCCTCATTTTCTTGGTAAGAACAATAGTATGCGCCACATCTCCCGTAATAGCTTTTCGCTGGGTTGGAGTTCCCTGGAGGATGTGGGGGCTGCACATAGTATCCCAGTCGGATTCATTGAGCTGGCAAAACCGGAGATGCAAATTGGCCTTGAATAGAAGTGCTTTAGCTCAAATAGATTTCAAACCTGTGTCAGATATGATAAAAAACAATGGATGTCAACTGTGTCATACATGTTAAGATAACAAAAATAGTAGGTCGTGTGGGGCCAGTTCAGCATAAACAGCTTTGTACGCCATTTATGATGTTTAACCTTCATTTAACTCTGATCCGATTGAACATTGACCGCGACAGAAGCATGGCCTCGTTGAAAGCCATGATCGGAGGGGTACGTATCCGGCCTGGAAACGTTCTTACCAATTTTGACCACTGGTCAGCGTTTCCACGCTGGGTTGGTGGCATACGGATCTGCGCTGCTGCGTAAGTGCAGGTTGTGTGAGAAGTGTGCGAGCTGATCTCTCGATACGAATCTCCCGATACACCCGTGCAAAATTGCGCCTTGCTCTGCCATCTTCCAGTACCCCAGTTAAACAGCATCTCTGGCTGGAGCCCAACTTCTTCGTCTTGACCGGCAAGATCAGTCGGGTCATCGTGTTCGTCACTGGTTAAATCATCAAGCCCCTTGTCGCTCTCACCTTCGGAAGCAAGGGTAGCCAGCTCGTCACACCCTTCGCCAAAGTCCGTCATGGTGACAGCATTGTAATACACGCTAAGCATCAGATGCATGTTTTGTATCATGTATATACACGATAAAACCAACCAGATTCGTTTTATCCGTTCGCACTTCTCCATATGTCCATACAATTGGTTCATCACCAATAGCATCGTACATTGCTTCCGAAATTACCATCATCAAACGTGGGTGCCAAATTACGCGTGGTAGCGCCAATGTCAATATCTGACACAAGCGCATAAAGCAAAGTCAACATCATTCAGCATATTTTCACACAATTTCCTTGCGATTTCACCTTTCAAAGGTTGAGCGCCAGGCATGTTAGAATGTTTGGTCACGCTCTGAGGTACACTCGCTGCATCTCCGACACTCGCAACAGCTGCCTGGCAGCGTGAACGGTCACCAAAGCATTCACGTCGGTGTCGATTCGCTGAGCCGATGTCCAAACTCCTGCATCCTCAGCCGCATCTGATACACTTTCCACAGGCGCAGATGCAGTCTCTTCAGGTTTAATACCAGAGTCCACAGGCCCGCCAACAGTCTTCGTCGCAGCAACGATCATGGGAGCCGCAGATGTCGGGTCTGCTGAACCCGATTCACATAAACAGATACAATAAGTTGTATTAGAAATGATATTTGATGCGGCCACCATTAGAAAAACATGATAGGGAATTATCAACAGTATTTCTTGCGAGCTCACGAGACGTGGTACGATCGCCGCCAGTCGGTCCTTGCAACACTCCTGTTGGTGACGCAGTTTGGCTAGGAAAGAAACAGTGTGGGGAAAGAAAGAAAAAACACCTAGCACATCGCAAGCGTACCGAGAGCTTGACGACACAGATACATCATAATCTCCGCCTCGTCGACAGAGTAATCCTTTTCACGCACTCCATTCGTCGTCTTGCCGGGCCGGATGCAGGTTGGAGATTAGATTGTTCGGTTGGACGCTTGGACATCCAGCCAACCTTTTTCAGTTTTTTACCCAACTGGCGCGGGAGCCAATTTCGCTGCTTCTGGTGAATCGCCAATTGAGAAGGAATCGGTGGAGTGGATGTTGCGTCTCCAATTGCTTATGCGATCAGATCTACAAGATGAAGCTAGTCGCTCGAACTCTATATTTGTAAATTTTAAGCTAGCCCCGTCTTCAATTTACGAAGTTGGTCTATGCACGGGCGGGGTACACTAATCTCCGCCTGGCGGACTTGAGTTTTTATACTTTCAGACTGAATTTAAGTCTAATCCTTATCGGGTCCTACGGGACAAGATATATATTTCTGTACCATGTCTAATACAGGCATCCGGGCTTGGAGGGTTAATGATAAGAATGTTGGTCCAGAGTGAGTTACAACAACAAAATATCTCAACGCTGAAAAAGAAGAAGTGTAGCGATTCACAGGAAATTTCTGACCTATAAATTTGTGCGAGTTGGCTGTGAAGGGCGGCCCGAACTCGCCTGTAAAATTAAATTTTGGCTAAGCCAGTATAAAATAGGAAGAGGATAACGTCACACGAAATTGTATGGAAGAAAATATCCGACCGTAAAATACCGACAAATCTCGACAAATCAGTCAGAATCAAAAGTATAAAACACCCTCCTCCTCCCTTTCACCCGTCCCAAACTAATTATGGGCCTTTCATTTCGAAATAGGCGCGAAACCCAGGCCCATCCAGAAATGCGAGCGCCGCGGCAGCCTCTGAGCCTGACGTGGAGCCCACTGAAGCTAAGTCGTGGACGAACACGTCCCGGTATATCACGCTGAAGTCACGCGTGTTACGCATGAAAAGGAAGGAACGTTTGACAGCTGGAGGGCGTTTTTCAAGTGCCTTGACGCGTACCAGAAGAAGACAAAAAATATCTTCAAAAAGAGGACGTCAATGAGCGCGAAGGCGAGGAGCACTGAGCTTCAAGAGCGAGCTAAGGCCACAGCGAAAACCATTTTCTCTGAACAACTCGACAAATACTACCGAAAGCGTGTATGTACACACAGCTGGTCTCGTTCAAGCCGTTCAAAAAGAAAGCGTCAGAACGACTTCGTGAAGTCCGCAGGATGTCAAGCACACATGACGGTCTCGGTAGCGTGGGACGCTTCACACAACTTCCAGGTGAAGGTGAGGGAGCAGGAACCCACACATAACCACGCATTGGGCTCAATTTCTTACGGTAATCATCTATGTAACCGGTGCCGGTACGTAGCCCATACATTTACTCGGCCGAAATGCTTCTAATACTCGTGATGCAACCAAACCCGTCACGCTACGCGGCGTGTACAATCTAGTGGCGAAGCCTAAAGTGGAGCGGCGCGGGTCTACCACCGTCAAATCAAGGTAAGAAGCAAGTCGCCGTCAATTCCGCTCGCGCAAAGGCAACACGACAACAATCTACGTGGCCGATGAAAGCCTTACGCAGACAATCACTTCTCAAGGTCAGCAAATGCGGCATTTTTTTTAAGCCTTTCCCCATCATCGCGTCGCATTTGAAAAGAATATGCTCAAGAAAGGCCTAGTGTTGGAGCGCTACTGCATGAAACGCGAGACAGGAACGTTTGTTAACAATGCCCCGTATGTCCATTTGCATCTTATTCACATGATGATGTGTCACTGTGTCAGCTGTGTAATGTATGCATCTTTGTGTCTTATGTGGGTGTGTGTCGTTTCTGGAAAAATACGTCCCGCATGCTCGTATAGAAAACAAAAGTGCTGACTGCTTGACAGCAATGATAACTGTTTTTAAGTCATTTAATCAGACGTGGGATCCGGTTCAGGTTATTATTGTCGACGAAGACGTTGGTGATATGTCACTGTTGAATTTGGCTTTTCCTGGAGCTTCGTGTATTTCACGTTGTGAAATATCTCTGCACCGAAATGTCAAAGATAGCGTATAACATCGAGAATCGAGACAAGATCAAAGACGCCGTTCACATGATGCTTAGCGCGACGACGAAAGCGGAAAATGAAGTAGGGATGAAATACTTGTTCTATTCGGTTGACGGAAAGCAGGTCACGCTTGGAGAAGAATCCCCAGCGTCGACGCACTCTTTCATCAAGTACTTCCACGACAACAGGCCCAATTATAGTGAAATGTGGGGTGGGTTTGGCCGCATAGATACACCACACCTGAGGAACACTACAAACAAAAGGCACGGACACACGCGATATTTTTGCTTTGTTGACGTAATAATATTCGCCTGGTCGGCATCTTTAGATTGGAGGCCGCGTGAGGCCATTTGAAGAACGTTCGTAAGCCTTCGATGACGTTAGACGAGTGTGTCAATACGCTTCACGTCCTCCAGGCTATTGCTGAAAAGGGGTACGCGAAGCAAATGGCGGAAGTTGGCTACATGCGCTATTCTGGAGAAGACACCGAATTGCACAAGGTGTCTAAAGATGTTAGTCGACATGCGTAGCATTTGTTGGAAAAGCCATATTGTGTTGTGAGCGCCCGCAAGCCGAAATATATGACTCACCATATCCAACCCTACATGATTGAGGAGGTCTCCGCAGCTAACACAAGGCGCAAGAGCCACCTTGACACTAGGGTACGTATTTTGCCAGATTGCAAACGATTAAAATTAATGGCAACTGACTAAATGTGAGCTCTAGACGTTTCGTCGTTTATGTATATCCGTGATGACGGATTTTCTACCCTGCCGACATGTTATCTACTGGCGGCTGCTTTCCAGTAAAACCACCACTCCGATAAAGCCCATTTATCCTCGGTGGAGTTTGACGTGTCCATTAAACATTCCGATTGAAAATGATCAAGGAGTTGACGACAAAGAAGCTGCCGGTGGTTCGTTTCGAGACCGAGACTCTAAATTGACAGCGGCTTACAAAGTTCTCAGCGGAACTAACAAATTCCGGACGTCGCGCATCATCGCGACGCGCATCTCTGACATGAGAAGCCGGAACGAGACACCGATGTTTGTGTTGATGCTCAGAAAATCTGAAGTGCTTTGAAGCTATTGTTCGGGATGAAAAGGCGTCTTTCGTTTCGCAATCCTCTGTGTGGCCTGATCGACTCTCCGACTTGGACCCGCTTTCTCAGATCTCTGAGCTGCAAGATAATGGAGCAATTCACTCTGATGACACTTCTGTCGCTCCAACTGCAATCACTAACGATATTTTTTTCGAATACGAGAGCAAGATTGGGGAGCGAACAGCTGGCGTTGACTGCCCGGATAATATCTTTCCTGACACTGTGACCCTATCACCAAGTCACTCTGATAGTGTGACGATTTGTTCAAGTCGCCCAGATCCCACACTAGAGATGACAAGAGGATCTAGCCACGCTGCGGGCTCCAGTCACGCAGTCAGAGAGACTAGTACTGTGGAAGCAACCTCAGAGCAAACAGAGTCCAGCAGCCGACTGGCTGACGAGGCCAATGATCCTGCTACAATGAAACATGCGATAACCGCAGTGAAAAGAGCGCCCTGGGGGGGGCAATCTAGCTCCCAGTTGAAGTGAGGATTACTCGTTCTTCCTCCCGAAAAGCACCAAAGGCAGAGGTCGGCCCACGGTACGAAAACATCTAAAGCAGCTAACCAAGAAGCGACGTATGACGAACGGTCGGAAACAGGATAAGCAGCTCATGCAAGGATCGTTGCTTACGGTTTTGTTTACGACGCGAAGCAGTGTTGCAAGGGTGCTTAAGTCGTCATACAACTACAAATCGGTACCCGACTTCCTGTCTAACGCCAAGGTTTAAGATGGGCCCCGGGGAGCAAATAATATTGATGGTGATCGCCCCGAATGAGGCCTTAAACAGCGTTAAGTTAATGTTTACTAAGCAGCTCATGCACAAGTGCAGAAAACCCTTAGAGGTCTATGGAAAGTTGCTACGAGATCCTGGGCTACCCCTTGGTGTTCGTATTGCCAAAATAGGAGTCGTCTGCGAAGCGCAAGTACGAGTAATGGGGGATTATCATCACACGATGGTATCGCTGACGGGTGCGTCTGATGCAATTGAGTGGATGGCGGCTACGTCGCTCAACAGACTGGACGTCCCCGAAGGCCTCGGCAAATCTATGGACCTAGATAAAGCGAAGGCTAGCGCTGAAGCAGATTGTCGTACCAATGTCACGCTTGACACCGTTTGGCATGGTGCCAAGCGAGTCGTTAGTCCTCTTGAGAGAAGTTTTATGGCTCATCGACGACTAGATGCTGCACGTAATGACGACTATTCAAGAAAGGTTTGGACTCGTTGGAATCGTTTCGTCAGGTATTACTGGACCAGAAAACGCTGAAGGCCAACCGAAGATCAGCCGCGGCTCGGATCCGCTCCTGGGGCGCAACACGCACGTGTTACTTCCAATTCACATCAACAGAAACCACCGGTGCGGCGCCGTCTTCGTCATTAAGCCTAAACCAGCACGGATTACAGAATTTGACTAGGCCCCAGCTCAGTCATTGTTAGAAAAAATACCTTGTTTAAATGGCCTTTCCTCCACGAAGGCTCGCCGATCTGGCAGCAAGTCGGACGTGGCTTCCTTCGCCTGAGCCTTGACAAAACCCTGGAGGTGCCGGTACAGCTGGCACTGCCCTGTATCATAAACTTGCTTGTACACCTTGCATCGCCGATTTCAGTAATGGGCTGAGTGATTCTTTCCGCCACACGATACCCACGATCCGAAGCTTCTGGGACGAATCTCGATCTCTATGGCGGAAATCCCAACGCTCTTTGTCAACGTTTCCTTTCGGCTGGCCACCACATCGTGACCGACAACCTGTTCAAGCATAAGTCCTTTCGGCTCGCAGGCGCGAGCGCCTGCAAGCCGTCGCCGACCTTCGTCCGATGATAACACTTCGCCGTAGCTGGCGTAGCCATCATTGTCGCTCAAGAAGCTGCTTC